AAAAAAAAAAAAAAAATCACTAAACTAACCCACAGGTCACAAAAAATCACGCAGTCTTGCAACGACGACCGTCGCTGACTATAGACTACCGACGACTGTCGCTGACAACTGAAGATTCTGACCGTAGACTACCGACTATTTGAGGAAAATTTAGAAGAGAGAGAGAGAGAGAGAGATGGAAGGTTAGGGATTAGGGTTGTGTTTGTGAGAGTTTGAGTTCGTTTTTTTTTTTATTTTATTTAAATTAAGATAGCGGGCTGGGTTGAGAGTTGGGCAGGTTGTAAATCATAATAATTAATATGAAATTAGAAATTGATAAAAAAGCCAACAAAATGACAAAATTATTAAATTTACAAAATTGGAATTTCGGATAAATTTTCAAAAAAATTCAAATTTTTATTTTATACCTTTTTCCCGCCCGGTTTGGTTTTAAACCGTATTTAAAATATTCAAATCTAAACCAAACCGTTTTTGACCGGTTTTGTTTGGTTCAAAACCATTTCGTTGACAGGTCCACGTGGCACCAAATCATCGGTTTCAAAATTGCGGTTTCGATTCGATTTTCCGATTTGGCGATTTTTGCTTACAACCCTAGTTCCACTCGTTTGAACTCGACTCATGTGCCACTTGGGCCTATAAGGACAAACCGAAGGACAAGCCAATCATAAAAATAGTTAAAGCCCACAAGCTGGGTTTCTTTTTCCAAAAAAAGAAAAAAAAAATTGCATATTTTTTAGCATTTTTCAAATTTTCTTTAGGAAAAAAATATCCGCGCAACCCACAAGCCAAAGGGTTGAGTCAAGTTGGATACAAACTGAGCTCAGCCCATTAACATCCCTAAATCAACCATAATATTGATAATTCGATGGACCTGCAACCAAATTTTCAAATTAAAGTTGAGTACAAAATGAGAAATAAGTTCCCAATGAAACAACATAGAGTTAGAGATGATAAGTGCGTTTTACACACTTATTAAGGCCACAAAACATGTTTGATTGTTGGTAAATATATTAGAATATGGTTTAATTCTAGCATTGATGAATATGTTGGAATTTAGGGGAAACTAGCAAAAAATGACTAAAATGAAAAAAAGTCAGAGTGTGGGGACCAAAATATAAATAGCCAAAAGATTATCCGAAAGAAGAAACGAAGATGTGAAAGATTCAAAAACCAATTGAGAGAATGAATGAAATATTGGAAAAAGAAGAAGCGAGAAAAGAAATCAATTAACGATAAAACTGAGTTAGGGAACTAAAACGCAAAAAGGGGATCGTTCTTCATGTATGCGGTTGTATAGCATGTTTAATCATGCGGTCGCATAGTAGGGTGCAGGGAATTCCAAAGATGAAGTTGGTTGAACTATGTTATAGCATGTGATTGTACTATGGAGTAGCATGGTATATTTTCAGAGGAAAATTTCTAATTTTCTCATATGATTCCAACTCTTATAGAAACAATATTGGGAATGTCTTTTAAGACCTAGGGTCGTCCAGAAACACATTACAACGCATTGGAGAGCATAGAAGACGGTAAGAAACATCGAGAGAGATTACACGACGTCAAGATCCAATCAAAATTCATAATTGGGGTAATGTCTACTCTATATAATTCTTGTTTTCTTCTTCATAACATGTTAGACTGTATTTCTTTGTACTAGAAAAACAATAAATCTTGTAATATGAGTTTTTAATTTTTAGTTTTACGTATTTGACATTGAAAACACATTTTTGGATTTTGATTGATTTATATGATTATATTTTCTCTACAATTATTGTACACGGTAGTTGTATGAATTTAGTGACTTATTTTAAGCATTCGAAAGAAAGAATTATGCTCGATATAGTGTAAATCGACATAGGGTTCGATAAGGGATATAAATATGTTGCCTATCTCTTTCAAATCCTTGACCATCAGATATGAAGAAAGTATGCATACACAATTTCTAACCAGGCCCGATTCTGAGGCGAGGCCATCGCCTCAGGCCCAA